GCAGTACCCTCCAGCTGAGGACCAGTACAAGCAGTTAACGGACCGTCTGAATGCCGTGGAAATTCAACAAGTGCCTGGGTTGGATTTCGGAGATCTGGGTTTATCTTATGGGGTGGTGATCCCACACAAATTCAAAGCTCCTTCTTTTGCTAAGTATGATGGGGCATCCTGTCCCAAGTTGCATCTCAGATCCTATGTGCGGAAGATTCAACCATATACGGCAGACAAGAACTTATGGATCCATTTCTTCCAGGAGAGTCTTTCAGGGACTCATCTCGAATGGTTCTATCAGCTGGATGGAACCAAGGTTCGTAACTGGGAGGATTTGGCTACTGCTTTTTACAAGCAGTATCAGTATAATGCCGACCTCGCTCCTACACGTACCCAACTCCAGGGTATGTCGCTAGGATCGGGAGAAGGTTTTAAAGAGTATGCGCAGAAGTGGAGGGACCTGGCTGGCAGGGTGCAGCCGCCGTTAACCGACCGTGAACTTGTGGACATGTTCTTGGGGACCCTATCTGGGCCGTTCTTCAACCATCTCATCGGTAATTCTTCTACAGGTTTCACAGACTTCATTTTGACTGGTGAGAGGATAGAGGCTGGTATGAAATCAGGGAAGATACAGAAAGGTGCGTCTTCAAGTTCTGACAAGAAGCCTTTCAAGAAGGAAGCTAGTGATGTGTATGGGCCCAGGAGGAAAAACAAACCAGAACGCCGCCAAGCTGTCAACGCGGTGGTAATTGCAAAGCCTGTTGCCGCTCCTCGGCAACCTAAACAACCAAGGGGTGAGAGACCCAAAAGAGAATATACTCGGCTTAGTATGACCTTGTCGCAGATCTTGCCACAACTACTATCGACCAACTTGGTAACTATCAGAGAAGCTCCGAAGATGGTAAACACAACCTCCCCGAAGTATAATCCCAATGCCCGCTGTGCTTATCACTCTGATAGCCCGGGGCATTCTACTGATGATTGCTGGGCCCTAAGAAATAAGGTCCAGGACAGCCCCCGAGAAGCCTAATGTGGTGACAGCCCCCATGCCCAATCATGGAGTGAATGCTATCAGGGAAGGTGACGAAGTGGAGGAATCCGAGTTCAACAGCTGGATCTACCCGACGACCAACGGTGGACCGAGCAACTGGACCGCAAAAGACTACATACCTGTTACTTTTGTTACTCAGTAATGAATTCCTTTGTTTTAAATTTGTAATAAACAATAATTTGAGACTTTATGGCCCAGTGTCTTACCCGGGGCACCGTTGCTTCATTTGTGAGGGCTTATTATTTGTCATTTACATATATCATAAATAAAAACATTGGACGTTTTTTCGCATTTCAAATCTTGTGCTCCCTTTCTTTCTTTGTTATAATATTGCAAAACAGCTATATTTACACACAATCACTTATACAGGTTCCAATCCACTCTGGATCTCACTGGTAACGACTCTGCTACTGCCAGTTATGACTTTGAAAATCCGATCAACTTAGCCGAAGACGAAGGTGAAGATGATTGAGAAGTGCCTGGTGAGCTTGCAAGACTGTTACTCCAGGAAGAGAGGGTTATTCAGCCACATGAAGAGCCAGTGGAAACACTAAATCTGGGTACTGAGACAGACAGAAAGGAAGTCAAGGTTGGTGCCAATCTAGAGGCCAGTGTGAAACAACGGTTGATTCATATGTTGCATGATTATGTGGAAATCTTTGCCTGGTCTTACGAAGACATGCCTGGGTTGGACACCGACATTGTGGTTCACCATCTGCCTACCAAGGAAGACTGCCCTCCGGTTAAACAAAAGGTCCGCCGTATGCGTCCAGAGATGTCCGAGAAAATCAAGGCTGAGGTTATGAAGCAATTTTATGCCGGGTTTCTAGCTGTGACTTCTTACCCTCAGTGGGTCGCCAATGTGGTCCCGGTGCCGAAGAAGGATGGTAAGGTCAGAATGTGTGTTGATTACAGGGATCTGAACAGGGCCAACCCCAAAGATGACTTCCCTCTTCCTCACATTGACGTTCTGGTTGACAATACTACTCAGCACAAGGTGTTCTCCTTCATGGATGGGTTCTCAGGTTATAATCAAATCAAGATGGCTCTTGAAGACATGGAGAAGACCACTTTTGTTACTCAGTGGGGCACCTTCTGCTACAAGGTCATGCCATTCGGGTTGAAGAATGCTGGGGCAACCTACCAACGGGCCATGGTTGTTTTATTTCATGACATGATCCATCATGAGATTGAAGTGTATGTCGACGACATGATTGCAAGGTCCCAAACTGAGGAGGAACACCTTGACCATCTACAGAAGCTGTTTGACCGTCTGAAGTTGTACAAGCTAAGATTGAATCCAAACAAGTGCACCTTTGGGGTGAGATCCGGAAAGTTGCTAGGTTTTGTTGTGAGCGACAAAGGTATTCAAGTGGACCCTGCCTAGGTGAAATCCATACAAGAGATGCCAGTCCCCAAGACAGAGAAAAAAGTCAGAGGCTTTCTGGGACGTCTGAACTACATTGCCTGATTTATCTCGCACCTAATTGCTACCTGTGAACCAATCTTCAAGCTGCTGAAGAAAGATCAAGTAGTATGTTGGAATGATGAATGGCAGGCCGCTTTCGACAGAATCAAAGAGTATCTCCAAGAACCACCCATTCTTATGCCACCGGTTGAAGGGAGACCTCTAATCTTATACCTGACAGTACTTGACAACTCGATGGGGTGTGTGCTGGGGCAGCTTGACGAGTCTGGCCGAAAAGAGCACGCCATTTATTACCTTAGCAAAAAGTTTACCGACTGTGAGACCCGATACTCACTGCTTGAGAAAACTTGCTGCGCTTTGGTATGGGATGCTCGCCGGCTGAGATAGTATATGCTGACTCACACTACTTTGTTGATTTCAAAGATTGATCCGATAAAGTACATATTCGAAAAGCCTGCTCTGTCCAGAAGAATTGCAAGATGGCAAATGATCTTGACAGAATATGACATCCAGTACACGACCCAGAAAGCAATCAAAGGAAGTATATTGGCAGACCATCTGGCACACCAGGCAGTGGATGACTACCAATCTGTGAACTTTGAATTTCCAGACGAGGACGTCATAATAGTAACTGATTGTGAAGTACCTGGACCGGATGAAGGACCTGAGGAGGGATCCCGATGGTCTATGTATTTTGACGGAGCCTCGAACGCGTTGGGTAATGGCATCGGTGCTGTGATCACATCTCCTAATGGCTCTCATACTCCACTTACTGCCCGACTATGTTTCAACTGCACCAACAACATGGTGGAGTATGAAGCATGCATTATGGGTCTTCAAGCTGCGATTGACCTAAGGATCAAGTTTCTGAGTGTCTTCGGAGATTCCGCTCTCGTGATCAATCAGATCAAAGGCGAGTGGGATACGAAACACCCAAATCTTATTCCCTACAAGGAGTATGTGCTGACATTGACCCCCCATTTCACAGAGATAACTTTTGAACACTTCCCAAGAGAGGAGAATCAGTTGGTGGACGCGTTAGCTACAATGTCTTCTATGTTCAAAGTTAAATGGGACAACGAGGCTCCCCGATCATTATCTGGAAATTGGACGAACCTGCATACTGTTGTGATCTTGAGGCTGAAGAAGTGAATGAGAAACCTTGGTATCATGAAGTGAAAAGGTACCTGGAAGCTCAAGAATACCCTGAGGGTGCATCTGTTAACGACAAAAAGTTTCTGAGAAGGTTCGCAGCTAAGTTCTTCCTCAGCAACGACATTCTATACAAGCGAAACCATGATTCAACCTTACTGCGTTGTGTGGATAAGAAAATTGGCAGATTGCGACAGGTATTTTTGTAGATTACGACGGTTAAAACCGTCGCAATTTGCTTTCCACGACGGTTGCTTTACCGTCGCAGAAGTGTGTGTCCCCAACCTATTTCGCGACGGTTACAAAAACTGTCGTTCATGTTTACGACGGGTTGATACCGTCGTGACTATCTTTTGAGTTTCTTTTAATTATTGATGGCGACGGTTCGATACTGTCGTGAATATCTTTTGAAATTGATTAAATTGTTTATGGCGACGGTTCGGTACTGTCGCCATGACTTTTGTTTATGTCTTGATTTTTTTTTATTTTTCTATTATATATATTTTTTATTTAAATTATTATCTATGTAAAAAATTTTAAATATAGTTTTTTTTTGTGTTCTTTTTTTCTTTAAATTATTTCTTCTTTAATATATTTATTTATAGTATTATTTTTTGTTTTATTTTCTATCACTTTGTAATATAGTAAAAATAATTTCAATAAAAAATATTTAACATCAATACAAAAATATTCTTATAAAAGAAGCCAAAAAGGGGTATAAGAGGTGTTGTATAAGAATAGAATCAGCTGGAGTATTGTTTTAAAGTAATATCGTACGATATTACCTGAATCTAGTTCGCAAACGATTAAGTTAAACAATTCCATACAACAAAGCGACAGTGGACACGATAAATACATGTCCAAATGAATAATATAATCCTGAAATAAAGCATTACATCATATTGTGTTCCCACTCAAACTCATGTCTCATCATCTCCCATACTGACTGAATAATGCCCGAAGTTCCTGCCCTGTTTGATTCAACAAAAATGGAATCCAGTCAAACTAAATCCAAAGGGACAAATACAAGTAATTTTGTGCTATCTAAATTTATCAGATGTTTGCATAAGTGACAGCAAAGTTTTCATAAATGGCATATTTTATTGAACATATATTTCAACGAAGGTTTTCACAAATGTTTAGACTTTGAATTGTATCATGTATAAATCAGAAAAGATGAAATCATGCAACTGATATAGCAAGAATGCTAACCTCCGATAATACCCGCTGCTTGTTAAGTAATTGGGTCCTAGCCTTGTTCAAAACAGAATTTGGTGACTTGAACATCCTCTGCATGTAAAAAATTTAGGGAGATCAGCAGATAATAAGTGAAATCTGGAGAAGGGGGGATAGTCACAGTTTATTCCAGCAAAAATATCAGAAGGCATTATCCTCATCAACTTCATACTCTTCCTCTTCCCAACCATCCATAGCTCCTACTCCCATTACATGTCCCCGCAGTATAGTCACAATCTGTTGGAAATCTCTATCAGCTAAAGTTAATGCTGCTCCAGACTCATTTTCAGAAGGCTCTGGAGGTTGACAGTTAGCCATGCGGTCTCTCTTCAACACAAACATTCCAGAGGGCCCGAGAATATCAACAGAAAATGCTGGTGACAACTGAATCCCCAGAGCTTGAACATGAGAAATACTGCATTCATAAATATCGTTAAGTTAGGAACTTCACACAAATATCTACAATATTTACTTTATAACATTTAGAGAAAACAGCCCACTAGAACTTTTATTTTCCATAAAGAAGAAAGGCAATAATCAGCGTTGACATGCAACATAAAAAAGAAAACTTAAGACCGGGGGATGAGGGAAAATCTCAATCCCCAAATAAATATCTTTTGGGCAGAGAATTAGCATGCCAGATGTGGTACCATCCACCAGGGTCTAAGCATTGAACGCTAGGTGGTTGCATTAGCACAACAAGGGACCCTTACATTAGAGGACTTAAAGGATGTCGGAACATTAATACAAAGCTAAAACATAATACAGATAAAACAAAAGCTAAGCAAAAATTGTCATCTTTTGTTGCGAGATAGGAATAACTGAATTTCAGTTAGAAAGAGGTCAAAGAACAGCAAAGCATCTAGACTGCAGACAAACTCATTATAAGATGAAAGAAAGGAGAGAGAAAGATAGTTTCAGAACTCTATATAGCTGTCCTCATCTTTCAGAAACAATGACTTAACCAAAACCAACTGAGTTGGTTAAAGATATCACAAATCAAGGACATAGCAGACCACCAGAGCTAACATGACCGTGTAGAAGGATTGTTAGGATGTCTGAGCATAAATGCAAATGAATTGAGTATTACAAGATAAAGCTATGTGTTCAGGTACCAAATTGAAAGTAAAAACAGGAAAACTAGAGTTCGATAAAATACATACTAAGAAATTCATAGAGACGATCAGAGCTAACTTGACCTTGTAGAAGGACTTCATAAGTTTCATGTGATTTAATAATACAATGGTTAGCAATTGGCTAACACTGTTCGATAATTGTCTGATAAAATTTTCCCTTCAGCTTGAGCGGTACTTATGTCACATAAAACCCCGAGGACCTCATCCATTTCAACCACCCAACTTGAATTCAACAGTTAACATCCCGTACTATTTCTCCATCGTTCTGTATTACGGTCCCATGAAGCATAGATAAAAATTCTTGTTCAACTTTTCAGAGATTTTGTGTGCAAATGTGAGATGAGGCGATTGCAATAGAGTACCATTCTCAAGAAACAAATTGAGCGATGGAAAACGAACATAAGTTACCATCATGTGCGATAGTGGAGATGACGGAAGATGATGCGTTTTTTATGTTGGAGTATAAGATGAAAAAGGAGAGAGAAAGTCATAAGTAGTTCAAAATTCCATTTTTATTGAAATGATTTTGATTAGTGTTACAAGAGGTGCCAATAGCTTTATAAAGTTGTGCCTTATCATTCACTAACTAACAATAACATAACCTACAATGAGTTTGTTACAACCGTCATAAATCAAGGACAGTTGTCATCTCATTAACTTCTATATTCTTATACTCCTTGTACTCCTTGAATAATTACATCAAACAAGAAGAAGATGAGCATCTAATAACTTTCCATAGTTGATAAATCACTTAAATTCAGTATGTATAGTTATGAAAATGGAGGTTGACTATGCTTCTTCGTTTCAGTATGTCTAGGTTTTGCACTATTTGGCAGTTACATGTATCCATTGTGCTCAAAGAGAAAATAATATATTTAGCCCTTTTTTAAAATTTATGCTATATAAAATTAATGCAGGTATGGTTTCAGGTGAAGTAATCATGCACAAAACCTAACTTGATTGCATCCATATGCCTTATAAGTATAAAAAAAACCAAGGAATCTAATTTTTTTAATAATTCCTAATGTTGCCAAATGGATTAGCCTCAAAATAGAGGGGACAATTGGTATGATTGCAACACTTTTCAGAAGTACTCGAGTTAACACTATTTATGCACACGATAAGATAAAATTGGAGTTAAAACCAAGCACTGCATAAGGCTTATTGTGAACTTATTTAGGATGGATGTTATGGCTACTCTGCCAACAAATCTAATAAAACCTCAACACACAAGTTTGTCAACGAAGAAACTCACCAAATGTATAGTAAGCCGTCCATTTCTTGGCTCTGCACCCTTTCCAAAAGCTCAATCTGCAAGATACCACCAATACAGAGAACAGGTTCTGGAAGCTTGAACTTCTGTAGCCGGTTTTCCTGTTCATAAGGAATTGTTTTCAGAAAACAGTTCTCAATGTTAAAAAAACGAGTAGAGGGTTATCTCAAGCAAAATTATTTGAACATTGAAGTTATTATTCTGTCGTGCAGCTTTCATTTTATTTTTCTCAACAACGTCAGGCTAGGTCATTCTAGTACTTTGAGGTTAATACATAGTCTGATCATCCAACAAATTTCTTTTCCTATTTACTTATAATATTTATTGCAGGGCATCCTTTAATAACAAAGCATATCTAGTTTTTTATATCATGCATCAGGAAATCAATGTAACGGAAATTTTTCAATGAAAAACAAAACTAGAAACAAGCTAAGATATAAGAAGTTACAAACCTGAGCCATTGGAAACTCCGGAGATGTATAGGTCCATACAAACGCATCAGTTAAATCATCTAAAGAGGCTTTAAGATGACCCATTTTGAACCTAACAGATTTTGCTGAATATATTGGCGACCCCATCTGAAAGTGAGCTGGTCAGTTAACAAAAAAATTGTTAGCAAAAAAACATAAAAATTTAAAATAAATGAGTCGAGCGCATAGTTTATGAAGATTTCAAACATCACCTTGGAAAGGCTGAATATTGATTTCTGTAATAACACATATTTGAGAAGCCAACTGGTATGTTAATGTCTCAGGCACATTGGGATTGCTTTGTCCGCTACTCGACCAATAGGAAAATCTACCAGCAATGTTGTCTCTTTCCTCTAGAGTATTAACAATGCTCTCCTGAGGAAAATTATCAGTGCTAGAAGCACTGATTGCCTTATCTATGCAATCCATAGCAACAGGAGATAAGCAGGATCTAGCAAGATAACTATAGACTCTATGATCTTTCCATAGAGCTAGACATTCATTAGATTGGCTAGATCCAACCTCTGAGTGTTCCTTCACTCCGTCCTGGTTTAGTTCAACAACACAAGCAACTCTTGATAATTGAGGAAACATTCTCAAGCACAACTGCTTAGAAAGGCCGTTTGCAACCACTGCAAAAACCAGAACATCAAAATAGGATCTTTAAGTTGTAAACATGTGAGCAATATGAGGTTGGATACTCAAAATATAGCAAAGAACACAATTCTAAAAGGACAAACAGATCAGAAATAAAATGAAACGTAAAATGTATGCCACGGAGAATCTAAACTTGAACTCCTCTTGAGACTGAGGCATTAAAATATAAAAATAAAATACAACTAAACGTCTATAACTCACCAAAGCCTCTCCAAGATCGTGAAACACAACTGACGCGGGCTAGATCTGCTGGATCATCCAGACACTTGAAAATATTGAGAGACGTATCAGGGTCGACCCAACTTAGAAAATCTTTACAATTGTCCATCCTGGGCATGGAAGTTGGTGATAAACCAAACTAAGTTATCCTCTCAAACCTGAAAAACAGAACTGAATCAAAAAGAGAACTGCAACAATTGGCATTGTGACAACATTTTGTTAATTGGTGTACAGTTGTTGTTCATGAATATTGCAATTTGCAACCAGAACTAAAACAACAGTTCATGCCTCAAAAAAAAGGATTTTTTTTTTTACTTCTTTTGTCATTCCTGAAATATATAATATGAAATTAATAGAGTTACAAAAATTGGAGAAACAAAAGCACCAATCAGGTTAATCATATATATTACAAGGGTGCGAAAGTCAAGTACTTTGATCACCTTAAACATGATAAACCTAGCAAATAACCAAACAAAATCGAAAATAAAAACAAAAACGAGAAAATCAAAATGGGTCATGAAATTCAGGGGTTTTGGGTAAAGAAATCAACACGAAAAAGGTTAATTTAGAGAACCAGTTGTCTGTTATAGATTGAATCAAAATTGAAAATTAGTTATGTAAATTATTCACTAATTCACTGGTACATGCATAAACTTTATGAGAAGAGACAAACCGGGAAAGATGAACATATCTCAGCCATAGCAATCCCAACAAACCAAGTGAAGAACTTCGTTACCGATCGAAGGGAGGACTTTCTCGTCGTATTCGAGACCGAGGTTTTGAACGATGACAGGGAGTTTCGCGGTGTCGGGACGAGAGAGGACTCGGAGAGTTAGGTTAACCATTTGAAGATCTTTGGTGCCGGATATTGATGAGAAAGTATGGGGGCGGGTTTTGATATCGAAGATGTAGGGTTTTTGAACCCATGGGATGAGGAAATGGGTTCCCCCGCCTATTGGCTTGTAAGGTGGGATCCTCGTCTACAGATTACAATAAAGGTTTTGGGTGTTTTAACTTTTTAACTTTTTAACTTTTTTATTGCGACGGGTGTTTTACCGTCGTGCCCATGAGAATTTTTAAAGGTTTTGGGTGCGACGGTTGTTTTACCGTCGTGAAATGAATTTTAGGACGGATAATTTTACCGTCGTGAAAGGTTTAAGGGTGCGACGGGTGCTTTACCATCGTGATATGCCTTTTAGGACGGTTAATTTTACCGTCGTGACTAGTTGTTGGTGAAAAATCAATGTTAAAAGTGTTAAATGGAGGCCGACGGTTGTTTTACCGTCGTAATAATAATATTATGATGGTTAAATATACCGTCGCAAAATAAATATTAGGGACGGTTGGTGTCAACTATCGTAAACACTGTCTCTATATGTCAATTACGACAGTTATCACATAACTGTCGCAATTTTTGTGTCGTTAAACACTAATTTTCTTGTAGTGCGGGTTTCTAGCTGTGACTTCTTACCCTCAGTGGGTCGCCAATGTGGTCCCGGTGCCGAAGAAGGATGGTAAGGTCAGAATGTGTGTTGATTACAGGGATCTGAACAGGGCCAAACCCAAAGATGACTTCCCTCTGCCTCACATTGACGTTCTGGTTGACAATACTGCTCAGCACAAGGTGTTCTCCTTCATGGATGGGTTCTCAGGTTATAATCAAATCAAGATGGCTCCTGAAGACATGGAGAAGACCACTTTTGTTACTCAGTGGGGCACCTTCTGCTACAAGGTCATGCCATTCGGGTTGAAGAATGCTGGGGCAACCTACCAACGGGCCATGGTTGTTTTATTTCATGACATGATCCATCATGAGATTGAAGTGTATGTCGACGACATGATTGCAAGGTCCCAAACTGAGGAGGAACACCTTGACCATCTACAGAAGCTGTTTGACCGTCTGAAGTTGTACAAGCTAAGATTGAATCCAAACAAGTGCACCTTTGGGGTGAGATCCGGAAAGTTGCTAGGTTTCGTTGTGAGCGACAAAGGTATTCAAGTGGACCCTGCCAAGGTGAAAGCCATACAAGAGATGCCAGTCCCCAAGACAGAGAAAGAAGTCAGAGGCTTTCTGGGACGTCTGAACTACATTGCCCGATTTATCTCGCACCTAACTGCTACCTGTGAACCAATCTTCAAGCTGCTGAAGAAAGATCAAGTAGTACGTTGGAATGATGAATGTCAGGCCGCTTTCGACAGAATCAAAGAGTATCTCCAAGAACCACCCATTCTTATGCCACCGGTTGAAGGGAGACCTCTAATCTTATACCTGACAGTACTTGACAACTCGATGGGGTGTGTGCTGGGGCAGCATGACGAGTCTGGCCGAAAAGAGCACGCCATTTATTACCTTAGCAAAAAGTTTACCGACTGTGAGACCCGATACTCACTGCTTGAGAAAACTTGCTGCGCTTTGGTATGGGATGCTCGCCGGCTGAGATAGTATATGCTGACTCACACTACTTTGTTGATTTCAAAGATTGATCCGATAAAGTACATATTCGAAAAGCCTGCTCTGTCCAGAAGAATTGCAAGATGGCAAATGATCTTGACAGAATATGACATCCAGTACACGACCCAGAAAGCAATCAAAGGAAGTATATTGGCAGACCATCTGGCACACCAGGCAGTGGATGACTACCAATCTGTGAACTTTGAATTTCCAGACGAGGACGTCATAATAGTAACTGATTATGAAGTACCTGGACCGGATGAAGGACCTGAGGAGGGATCCCGATGGTCTATGTATTTTGACGGAGCCTCGAACGCGTTGGGTAATGGCATCGGTGCTGTGATCACATCTCCTAATGGCTCTCATACTCCACTTACTGCCCGACTATGTTTCAACTGCACCAACAACATGGTGGAGTATGAAGCATGCATTATGGGTCTTCAAGCTGCGATTGACCTAAGGATCAAGTTTCTGAGTGTCTTCGGAGATTCCGCTCTCGTGATCAATCAGATCAAAGGCGAGTGGGATACGAAACACCCAAATCTTATTCCCTACAAGGAGTATGTGCTGACATTGACCCCCCATTTCACAGAGATAACTTTTGAACACTTCCCAAGAGAGGAGAATCAGTTGGCGGACGCGTTAGCTACAATGTCTTCTATGTTCAAAGTTAAATGGGACAACGAGGCTCCCCGATCATTATCTGGAAATTGGACGAACCTGCATATTGTTGTGATCTTGAGGCTGAAGAAGTGAATGAGAAACCTTGGTATCATGAAGTGAAAAGGTACCTGGAAGCTCAAGAATACCCTGAGGGTGCATCTGTTAACGACAAAAAGTTTCTGAGAAGGTTCGCAGCTAAGTTCTTCCTCAGCAACGACATTCTATACAAGCGAAACCATGATTCAACCTTACTGCGTTGTGTGGATAAGACTGAAGCAGAAAGAATCATGGCAGAGATGCATGAAGGTACCTTCGGAACACATTCCAGTGGACATACCATGGCGAAGAAAATCCTCCGGGCAGGATATTACTGGTCCACAATGGAAGCTGATTGTTACCAACATTCTCGGACATGTCAGAAATGCCAGATCTACGCAGATAAGGTGCACATTCCTCCAGTTCCTCTGAATGTCTTGACAGCACCTTGGCCTTTCGCAATGTGGGGCATTGATATGATCGATGAAATCAGACCTACAGCATCCAATGGGCATCGCTTCATCCTGGTAGCGATTGATTACTTCACGAAGTGGGTTGAAGCATCTTCATACGCTACGGTAACCAAGAATGTCGTGGCACGGTTCATTCGGCATAACCTGATCTGTCGATACGGCGTCCGTGAAAGGATCATTACGGATAATGGTACCAATCTTAACAACAAGATGATCACTGAGCTCTGCAGCAATTCAAGATACAACACCACAACTCTTCTCCCTACCGACCGAAGATGAATGGGGCTGTAGAAGCAGCAAATAAAAATATCAAGAAGATTGTGCAGAAGATGACAGTGACCTACAAAGACTGGCACGAGATGTTACTGTTTGCTCTTCATGGATACCGTACCTCAGCACGGACGTCTACAGGGGCAACTCCCTTTTCCTTGGTCTATGGCATGGAGGCAGTCTTGCCCATAGAAGTCCAGATACCCTCTCTCCGGATAATGAAGGATGCAGATTTGAACGAAGATGACTGGATCCAGACTCGACTTGATCAATTAAACCTAATTGACGAAAAGAGACTTGCTGCTATTTGTCATGGTCAAACGTACCAAAAACGGATGATCAGGGCATTTAACAAGAAAGTCAGACCACAAGAGTATCAAGTCGGAGACCTGGTAATCAAGCGCATCATTCTTCCTCAAATGGACCCATTTGTGGTTAAACATATCTTCTCAGGAGGAGCTATGATCCTAACCACCATGGACGGTGACGACCTTCCTCACCCCGCCAATGCAGACATAGTAAAAAGATACTACGCATGAACAAAAGACCCGCTAGGTTGACATACCTAGGCAAAAATAAGGGCTTCCCGGCGAACCAAAAGGGTTCGGGCAAAAATAAGGGATGAAATTGAAAAAAAATGTACACCCGGCAAGTCGAAAACCTGAAAAGGCGGCTTGGGCAAAATTTGGGTATCCCGGTGGGCTGAAAACCCGAAAGGGCGGTCCAGGCAAAAGTTAGGGATAAAGCGTAATACTATATCTCATTGGATCACCTTGCATCCAGAATCCGGTATCAGCTATCAGGTTCAGACGGCATCGATCAATCAGCTTCATCTTCAGCTAGGTCGTCAAGTGATGAGACGCTCGAAGACATAAAGGCGATATCAGAGTTGAAACCCAGTGGGATCATTTTTCACATAGCTGTTTTGTTTTCTTTTTCAAAATTGTAAACTCTATGTTGTTCGGCGGCGTTCTCTTACTAGGACGCCAACCTCTTGTACTTAAACGCCTATTTTCAGGCAAATTCAAAAATTAATACAAATTCCCATTTTCAGACAAATTGCCATTTATTTTTCCTTTTTCTGTTTTGTCTTGCAAAGAACGTCCAATGTTCAGTTTTGATATATGCATTTGACACTAATTGCTAATTCATAAATATTTACTTGCTTGCGAAACAAAGGACTAATTACAGGTGACATCAGAAACAGGGGCAATAATGAGTTGT